TAAGTCGCGATTTAGCAGTTTGTTATCTTTTTGATCAGTCCTGCATTTGTATGGATTACAGATCGTAACAAGATCTTTTTGAGTTTTACTTGGAAATACCCAGTACAATATTTAAATTGTTCTTGTTGCTGTTTTGTTTAGCCGTGTAGTAGAACGTTGCGTTAAGCTGCTCGGCTGATCCAAAGTTAACCCTTTAATTGAATGGCACAATTTAATTAAAAGGCAAGCCGTCCCAATTGGTCCACCTGTTAGACCGCTGGCTGCGATATATATACTAAAATTAATATCGAGGGGGGTGTAATACTCAATGGTTTATGCGACATTTGTTAGGCTATAATGAGTTACTTATACATATTACGATTCCGCGAAATTTACCCATTCTACATAATGTGTACCTAAATCATAAAGAGGGATGAAAGGCAGACAATTTTTGCGATATTTAGTTACGAGTATATATTAAAAAAATGTCTGCCTTTCATCCTTCGATATGATTCAGTGACTTAGCTTAGAAACATAAATAACGGTCACTGTTGGACTTAAATACATAACATAGTTCTAGTATCATAAGTAGGGATTATAGATTTAACCACTAATTATTATTAGCTTCACGGTAAATAAACAGGATAATTAATTACGAGTTTTATTAATCATCACGGAAATGACCATATCAATGTCATATGTTTTACAAAACCATCCAACATATATTATTGGATCACAGTGTAGTCTAGGGAGCAGTGTGTAATTAACCGAGTGACAGATTCAGTCTCTGCTCGTAACTTGACAAAGGCCACCATATTACGCTCTGCAGAGACGGCTTTAAAAGATATGAATGCACGGAAGCCCCTCTTAAATTCATTATTTTTATTTATTTATTTATTTATTGAAACTTCTTTGCACAAATAAAGCGTAAATGGCGACTTAATGCCAGTAGGCATCCTCTACCAGTCAACCGTAGAATTATGGAATAGATACTTTAATAAGGCGAGCTATAAATTACATGTTAGATAAAGCATTTTTACTGACCTGTTAGCTTAAATATTATACTTATAATTTCACTAGCAACTTTTCCCCGACTTCCCGCTTAAATTATAGACCATGGCTCCCGCGTATAATGTAGTTTCCCTTGTATGAATGAATTCTTAAAATTGATTTAATAATTTCAGCGTCTATTCAATACACACACACACACACACACACACACACACACACACACACACACACACACACACACACACACACACACACACACACACACACACACACACACCCGCGCGCGCGCGCACGCACACACACACACAATCAGCAAAGAGGAAAGATGTCCTCTTTAACTCTCTCATAATTTTATCATCATCGTATCACTCTCTGTCAAAGCAATATTCTCTGTCTACGGTAAAAATAGACATATTTCAAATAAAAATTAAATGTTACCTATTTTAACAAACTTTAGCAAGAAATAATACCCTTGGTTGCGCCTTATTGTTCAGCGCGCGGTCTCTTTAAATATATTTTTCTCAAGATTTTAACATCAAATGCATATAATTTTTGATTATATTTGAAATCTATTATACAACATTAACTTACTATTTATTACCATTCATGATTAATCAATGCAGTCCTGTTTTATTTCTTAGACGTTAAATTCTAAGGAATTATATTTCAAATAAGCGTTCATAACCTTTTTGTATTTTATTCAATTGACAATATGTATATAAAGCTAGAAGAAAACAAAAAAGACACATGTTTTTCTTCGATCAACAAATGTTTTCTATAAAAATCATTTTTTAAGGATACTGACCCAGTCGACTACTTTTTAGACCAATTTTATTGTAAGGCTATGCTAATATCCGCCAAATCATTTTATGAAAATTAAACATATGATCGATTGTTTCCTAAAAACAGAAACAAATTTCAATAATTATCTCGATAGAAGATACCGCAAAGATATGTTTGATCTATTTTACGACTAATTTATTATTCTAATAATTTTTCATCATATACATATAAAAAAATATAAACAAAAATAGGTTCTGATATAATCTAAAATATACAAAAAATATTTTTTATAACTGCATTCCTTTTTTTTTCTGTGACTAAAATGTATGAAATTCAGCGACCGCGTTATTTTTCCGTCTCTATGGATAGTTGTATGGGAACGTAAGCGGAGGTACGAACTCTACTCTGCACGTCACTCTACACACCACCACCGTAAGCAGACCTCTATTAGTAGGGAAGTTCTTTCTATACGATGGCGGTCGGTACAAAGTGGACAGTCAAAGTGCACGTGCAGCCGTGTGTACAAGAGCGCCTTAAAAAAAAGACAACTTTATCCATCAAAAATATAACATATTCAAAAATTCACAAATCTCACAACGCAATTCTTCATTGGTAAAAATTGTGAAATCATCGGAAACCAAGTCGATTAATTCAGTACCTATCTTTATCCTTTCCTACGTCATCAGCTATACACTATTCGAGTGATTCGAGCTACCTTGTACCTAAAAACAACCTTGTCTGAGTCAGACTCTCATACAATTTTTACTCTGTTTAGGCATCCGACTCCAGAATGCAAATATTAGAACACTTGAAAAAAATAGTATTAAATGATATGCGCTCGACTTCAATAGCATCAATTTTGAAATAAGTGTTATTTTTCACTTTTTAAGTTTTTATTCATGCTTTTTATTTATATTGATATTTTAATATAATAGATAAAACTAAAAATTCTTTTCAGAAAATCGCCTCAAAACCGAGTTTAAGTAAGAACCTTTTTTTTTGTCGGTTATTATAGCTAAAATCTTCTAAGTCTGACAAATACTATCCTGAAAATCACATCAAAATCGGCCTAACTAAACGCTAGATAATCGCGCGCAGACATACATACAGATGAAACTGAGAATCTCCTTTTTTTTGAAGTCGTTTATAAGGTTTCATCGTCCTTTTGTTCTGAATAATTAGGGAGGATTTAGTTCGCTGTGATAACGTAATGAATTTAGTAAGTATGGCTTAAATTAAGTATAGATAGATAGCATGCACATTTAATTTAATATTTAAATAAATTCTCCTTAACCATTTATAAGTAAAGCCTGAGTCCCTGCAGTGGGGATGTAATAGGACTGATGATGATGATTTAAATAAATACGAGTATGATTGATGGGCCCTGGTAACTTTTAAGTAAGCACTCCGGCACTGCGTTCAACCCCGCTATGCGCCACTCAGTACGGCCCTTAGCGATCGCTGTAGGGCCTGTGAGTGGGGTGAGGAGGGGTCCCAGCCTTCACGTTACCATGACGACCACTCCAAGAGCTCTCATTTGCAACAAGTAGGCTCCTATAATGTATAAATAATGCAACAAGTGGTCCGTTGCAAGCGATACATGTAATTAAGGTAACCAAGAACAATGATTATTATTTAGATATTTTTCTGAAATATTTACATGGAATACTGATTCATATAAGTACCTTATATATTATGGTTAACCATGTTAGTAATATAAGGTTAATTACCTCATAAATATGATTACCTATGTACTTTCAAAAGTTTTAGCGATTTCTTCTTTTGACTTCGTAACCTAACATAAATAACATGTATGTAGCAAAATTAAAAAAGTCCTAAGTGGTAAAGAGATTTTTCGAGCTTACAGTAAAAAATATCAATATTAAAAGCTATAATACCAATTCCTCAATGTTTTTTAGGATTCCGTACTTAATAAAGAAGTGGAACCCTTAAAGGATGACTGTAGTGCGTCTGTTTGTCAAGGACATTTCATTTTCTGAGCGCGAGTACCGTTAACAAATTAACACTGGCTGAGTTTACTTGTTGAGTTGTGTTGAGATCACACATCATTTTCGTCGTTTTTGTTGGTTTCGATCTTTTAGATTGATATTATTAGATTTTGTTGTTAGTTGATATTGTTGACTAAAATAGCAGCTGTTATTATTATTTTCACAATAAGTAAACGTGATTTCACTAATAATAGATATATCTAATGCATCTCATTTCATTATTACTTTTCGTATGTTTAAAAATGACCTTTCTTATTGTTATAGCATTATTACAAAGTAAATGTTTTATAGTGTTATTTTCCATATACCTATTGTAAATATTGAATTACATATAAATTGATTATTTTTTAAAAATTCATGCAAGAAATTAACGAGCTAAGATTTATGAAGTTATTATTATAATATTTTGGAGATTAATCAGAAATATTACAATAATTAATCATTTATTCCTTGCCTTTTGTGCTATCTATACTTTCTATCGTGTTATTTATGCAAGGTTCCAGCGCATTAGTAATTTACAGGACTTATACCGGCAGTTACTTTCACAAAGCTAAAAGTGAAGTAGAACTGACGATGGCGCAGGCTCGTCTGGATTATCACCTTCCCTATAAAGAGAAAGGAGAGGGTTTTAGCACAAAAAAGGCTGTTGAACTCGACGTCAACCCGTCGAACACAGCAATGATATAACATATAATAAAGGTTCAGTCAAATAAAATGTACAATCTTTAAGGTAATAAAGCTTTTTTCTTTGAACTTCTACGCTGTGTTGACGCTCTTTGCTCGACATCAACTTAATTGCCCGGATATCCGGTATATGACAGCAAAGTGGACCGGATACTCGGCGCATCGCTGGACTACACTAATTTTAGGTACCTACCTATTTATTATAATTTTGTAATTAATGTAAACGTGATTTTAAATCTTATATGTGATCCTTAGGTATTTTTCTCAGTTTTAATGAAAACGAATTCAATTATCGACTGTCTTATCCATACTCTTGATTTTTTAAAACGAACTAAAAAATATTTGAATGATGTAACTTATAAACTTATGACCTGCACCATCGTAAGTTACATAATTATGTGAGACGGATTAGGTAAAAAATAATATTTTTATCACTTTAAATCTATAAAACTTCATAAGAAGTAAGGTATCGAGTTTCCTTTGCATGGGTGCAAAAAAAAAACTCCTCCTCCCGCTTCACCCCACCGTCTTTCACCCCCTCCGACTCCTTCATCCACGACGAAAGTTTTAGGTTCAAAGTCTGGGTCGAATATTATTTAATTCATAGAATTTATTTTAGTGTAACTGTAGTAATATATTCAATAAAATGTCAAATTCAAAAATTCTTGGTGCTTTGAAGCTGTTAAAGTGCCGTAAAGATGTCCAATTCTTATACGGTGAGCTAATCTACACAAGAATGACTTTTAAACTTATAGACGATAAGCAGAAACTTACTTCCTACCGCCTTTTAGTAGTTATTATTAAAATATAATTCATTAATTTGAACCTTACATTCCTCTATTTTAATTCAAGGTTTACACAGAAGAAATTATGCAGCAGCAGCAAATCCAGTTTATACCAAGCGCAAGATTGTCAATGGAGTGTATGTTGTTACTTTGGACAGCCCTAACAATAAAGTAAGTAATAAAAAAATGTTGAAAACAAAAGAATTAAAAACATTCTTTTATCAAAATATTGACAGGTTAACTTTTATCTCCACTGAAACAGGTCAATTCACTTAATTCTGCTGTTATGGAAGAAGTCAATGATATCATAAATGAAGTCGATTCGAATTCATCCATTGAAGGTGTAGTCATTATCTCAGCTAAACCAGGATGTTTTATAGCTGGAGCAGATATTTCAATGCTAGAAAGTTGCAAAACAAAAGAAGAAGTAGTAGAACTGTCTAAAAGAGGTATGTCACGCATTTTGGTTTTATAATGCATTCATTGTAAGTTATTAAAAACATCATTGTTTAGTATATAATAATTGAACAGCCAAAATTATTTCTGCTGTTTAAATGACCAAAACATTTACTTTACTACTTATCCTTTTTTATTCTTATTTTTAGGGCAGGCCATATTTAAACGAATGGAATCTTCCAAAAAACCATACGTAGCAGCAATTCAAGGTGCATGTCTAGGTGGTGGCTTGGAAACTGCACTAGCATGCCGTTACCGAATTGCAGTTAAAGATTCAAAAACTGGTTTTGGATTTCCTGAAGTAATGTTAGGGCTTCTTCCTGGAGCAGGAGGTACTGTAAGGTATAAATCTCAAATTATTAGTATATATACAAATATTCTACTCTAAACAGACTAGACACTCATAATATTAAAAGACATTGAGATTATTATGAATTTTACATTTTTAGGATGCCTATATTGACATCTATACCTACTACTTTGGACCTAGCACTCACTGGAAAAACAGTAAAAGCAGATAAAGCAAAAAAATTAGGTATCGTAGATCTGCTAGTATCACCATTGGGCCCTGGTAAATTACTCTCAATTAATAAATTGTTATTTAATTAAACATGGTTTATAATTATGATAAAGCACAATATGATTGAAATTTTAGGACTTGGACAGCCTGAAGAAAACACAGTCAAATATTTAGAAAAAGTAGCTATTCAGTTAACAAAAGATATTTCATCAGGTAAACTAAAAATTGACAGATCTAAAAAAGGATTAATTGAAAAAATTACTGCCACAGTTATGCAATGGGACTTTGTTAAAAATATTATCTTTAATAAAGCAAAGGAACAAGTTATGAAAGCCTCCAGAGGGTTATATCCAGCGCCATTAAAAGTATGAAAAATAAATACAATTGGTTAATTTTTATGTAATGTTTAAAAATTATGAATAACTCATAAATTATGGATCTTTCAGATCTTAGAAGTAGTGAGAACTGGTGTTGATAAAGGTCCTGCTGCTGGCTATGAAGCTGAAGCTCAAGCATTTGGTGAACTAGCTATGACACCACAGAGTAAAGGTCTATTTGGACTATTCAGAGGACAGACTGAATGTAAGAAAAATAGATTTGGCAAATCACAAGTGGATGTTAAAACGGTATGAAAATAATTTTGTATGATTAAAATTAGAATGTCACTAAATTCGAAATGTCTGCAAACAAACCTATAATTAATTTAACATTGAATTTTATAATTTTTTTTTTTTAACATCTTAAATTCAGTCAGTTGCAAATCAAATGGTAAAACTTATATCTATTGTTGAATCAATAACAAATTATTATAATAGATTGGTGTTCTCGGTGCTGGTTTGATGGGAGCTGGTATTGTTCAAGTATCAATTGATAAAGGATATAATGTTGTTATGAAAGATGCCACAAATGCTGGACTTTATAGAGGAGTAGGACAAATTCAAACTGGTCTAAACAATGCTGTGAAAAGAAAAAGGATTTCTGCGTAAGTTTATAAATAATTCATACATAAAATGTTCAGAATACATGCATACTACTCATATAGTAAGCAAAAGTTGCAGTAATATTTATAAATAAAAATATTGATTGATAACACTTATCTCAGATAGTGAACTGTATCTCCGTTTATAATAGAGTAAGTGTTTTTATTAAAATAAATAGATATAGTATTATTATTTCAAATTTTAGGAAAAAATAATTGCATTGAAACTGGTTTTGAAGTGTTTGACTTACCTTTGTATATTAATAATAATTTTGTTTACTTTAGATTACAAAGAGACAAATTCCTTTCAAATCTACTGCCAACCCTAGAGTATGCTAAGTTCAAAAATGTAGACTGCGTTATTGAAGCTGTTTTTGAGGACATTAATATTAAACATAAAGTTATCAAGGAACTTGAAGCTGTAGTACCAAAACACTGTGTTATTGCTACAAACACTAGTGCTATTCCAATTACAAAAATTGCAGCTGGCAGCAGCCGACCTGACAAAGTTATTGGTAAGTTTTATTTTAGTACACACAACAACACACAAAATGTCTAATTTCCACAGTTGATTTTGAAATTACATGACAAAGTAGTAAGGCTTGAAATAGATTGCAAAAAATTTACATGCTGATAATAATCAGTATGTATTTTATTTTGATTACAAGGTTCTGCCATGTTTAAGGGCCCAAGTTTGGTTTCTGATCGCTCAAAGCAATATCGAAAATAAACTAATTAGGAATGGACGATGTTGTGAAATTTACTCATTTCCTATTGTTTATTCACAAAATAAATATAGCATAATATTATTTTCCTAAGGTATGCATTACTTCTCTCCGGTGGATAAAATGCAACTGCTGGAAATCATCCGTCATCCTGGCACCAGTGATGACACCGCGGCGGCCGCGGTAGCGGTGGGCCTGCGTCAGGGGAAGGTGGTCATCACCGTGGGTGATGGGCCTGGCTTCTACACCACACGTATCCTCTCTACTATGCTCAGTGAAGCTGTCAGGTGACAACCATCATATTAATCTCTCAGGACTTTATATAATAAAAAATTGCAAGAACAAAAAAGGTATTTCAATAATTTCAAGAACATAAAAAACTTATGCAGTTAAAGAAAACAGCTGGCTACCAATAAAAGTTGAAATATAATGTTTATCTCATTGAAATTATTGGTTTTGTTTAATGTGTGATCTTTTTTTTATTATTGCAATGTAATGTAGTCTTACATTGCAATACTAAAAAAAAGATCACAGATTAGTACATTTACTTCAATTTATTATTATTATGTCCATTAAAACACGAAATTAAGTAATTCCATTTATTAAGCTATGTAGCCTGCACAATAACAAAACAGAAAAGTGCCAAGTGAACTAACTACCCACATATATTAATCTTATTCTTTAACAAGATAACCTGTTGGTATTTTAATTAAAATATATTTGACATTCATACATAACATACCTTTTCCCCAAGTATGTTAAAAAATGTAATCAAACATAATAAATCAACCTAACTAAAAACAGTATAACTACATAACCATGAATGGAAACATCTTAATCTATAACATTTATATATATTTTAATATTTCTCTTGGGACACCTTATTTCGTAAGTTTAAACTAAACAACTGCCTTAATTAATGAATTATATAACATTACCGTCGTTATGCGGTCTAGTATAAGGTGTCTTATCATAAACAAACTTTTTATTTTTAACTTTTCCACCAGAAAAGCCTGGTTTAGGTTCTACAGGAATCCCTAACATTTCAGCCCATTTATCGGCACTCGGTATTTCTATTATCTCTTCTATAGGAGAATCCTCCTCTATTGTCTGACTATTATCGACTTCACTCGCTTCTTCCCTTCTCTCTTCTTCCTTTCCCTTTTCTTTGTCAGTCTCTTCTACTTGTTTTTGTGTAATTAATTGGTCTATATGTCTGCTCACAACCAAACCATTTTCTGTAGCTACCTGGTAACTTGATGGTCCTTCTCTACTAACTACTGTGCCTGGTAACCAACGAGGTCCCTTCGAGAAATTCCTATACATTACATTCTGTCCCAAATCGGACTGTCGATACTTTACTTGTGTATTTCGTATTATTTGCTGTTCACTCATAATGCGTTTGTGTTGTTCCGGGTGAATTGTATCTAATAATGTTCTTAAACGCCTATTCATTAACAACTCTGCTGGACTTTTTTTTGTAGCTGAACAAGGTGTTACTCGAAGGCCTAACAGCATGTTAGGAATTTTGATTTCCCATACTATGTCGTCCATCTTGCGTAGCTTGTCTTTGACTGTTTGAACCATTCTTTCCGCAAGACCATTAGTAGATGGATGGTATGGCGCAGTCGTAATGTGGCGAATTTTGTTCGCATCCAGAAATTGTTTCATCTCTGTAGATGTAAATGGTGTCCCGTTATCGGATACTAACGTTTCGCAAAGTCCATGAGTTGCAAAAAGCATTCTAAGATGTTTAATTACTGTCAAAGACGTCATATTATTAACTACAAACACTTCAGGCCATCGAGAATAAGCATCAACAACAATCAAGAAAATATTATTTTGGAAAGGCCCTGCGAAATCAATATTGATTCGAGACCATGGTTTCGATGGTATTATCCACTCAAACTTTGTTTTAGGAGGCATATGACGATATTCTAGGCATTTATTACAAGACTGTACCATAGTTTCAATGTCGTTGTTTAGATCTGGCCACCAAATGTAACTTCTTGCAAGTGCTTTTGTGTGTACAATTCCATTGTGAGTTTTGTGTAATCCTCGCAAAACGACTTTACGTAAAGACGGTGGCACAACCACGCGACAACCAAAAAGTATGCAATCTTCATGCAGTGATAGTTCAGTACGTCTTAACCAGTAAGGTTGTAAGTGCTTATCTGTTACCTTGACTGGCCACCCACTTAATATGTAATGACTTACCCGAGCAAGATTCATGTCAAGTTTGGTAGCCATAGCTATACTATCTACGTCTATAGGAAAATCTTGTGGAGTCTCTGCCATCAATAGGATATCACAAAGTTGTTGTTCGGGTTGCTCTGGAACAGGTTGAGGCCATCGACTCAAAGCATCTGCATTACCTATTTGTTTTCCTGGCTTGTATGTGATTGTATAGTCAAGAGAAGTAAGAACTAATGCTATACGTGTAAGACGAGGCGACAATATGTTAGGGATAGGCCGCTTTGAGTCGAAAATTCCAAGCAGTGGTTTATGATCTGTAATAATGTTGAACGATCTGCCCATTAAATAGTTATGAAATTTATTTATTCCGAACATTATAGCGGTTGCCTCTTTATCGAGTTGAGAGTAACGTCTCTCATGCGAATGTAGTGTTCTAGACCCCATTGCAATTGGTCGCTCTTGTCCATTCTCCATGACGTGTGACAACACTGCACCAACACCATACTCTGAGCTGTCACAAGTTAGTACTAAAGGCTTATGTAAGTCATAGTGGACCAGTGTCATATCAGAAGACAGCAGTCTTTTTGCAGAATCGAAACTATTCTGTTCTACTTCTGTCCATTGCCATCTCCGCGACTTATCGAGCAACCTATGTAGAGGCTCAAGTATCGTAGCCTTATTCTGTATGAACCTTTCATAAAAATTGTAAAGTCCCAAAAATGCCTGTAACTGTTGAACATTTTTAGGTTCCGGTGTATTTCTAATTGACTCTACCTTACTAGATGCCGGGTGAATGCCGTCTGGATCAATAACGAACCCCAAGAATTCAACACGCTCTTTACCAAATTTGCACTTACTTTCATTAAGACGCAAACCAGCTTTTTCAATTCGTTCCAGTACCACGTCAAGGCGTTGAGTCATTTCTGGCAGAGTGCGACCGCTGATAATGACGTCATCAATCAGCACAGCTACGCCCGCTATGCCTGCTAGCAATGCTGTCATCAATCGTTGGAAAATACCTGGGCATGCCTTGACACCAAAAGCTAATCTGTGGACACTGAATAACCCTTTACATGTATTTAACGTTAATAGCCGCGCTGTGGCATCACAAACAATTACCTGTGTATACGCTCTGTCTAGATCTAATGTAGTGTAAAATTTGCCCCCAGCTACACTAGCAAATACTTCACTAGCAGTAGGCATAGGATAGGTATCAGACTCGGTAGCCTGATTCACCGTACTACGATAATCACCACATAAACGAATTTCCCCATTCCTTTTTACTATAGGCACGACCGCAGTCGCCCAATCTGAATAACCTGTAGGGCGGAGTACCCCTTCAGAAACTAACCTATCTATTTCGCTCTCTACTCTTTCTTTAATGGCAAATGGGACCGGTCGAGCCTTCATAAATTTCGGTACAGCATTGGATTTCAGATGAATAGTGACAGGATCGCCTCTGTAGGTACCGAGACCATCGCGGAATACCTCTTTATGTTTATATAATATAGCGTTAATAGTAGACATATCAATATCAGAAATTACGTTAATAGATAATGAGATATCGAGTGCCTCAAACCAATTACGTCCTATCAAATTAGGCCCCGATCCCTTTGCTACAATAATGTTCAGCTTACACTTAATGTCTTTAAATTCAACTGAAACACTAACTTGTCCCATCACTAACACTGGTGAGTTATTCCATGCCGATAGCCGGTTAGGTACATGCGTGAGCGAAGCGCGTATCTGTAATTGACTCCATGTGTGCTCGTTAATGATTGAAAACGCGGCACCCGAGTCGACTTCCATTACTACTGGGATGCCCTCCAATAAAACATTCACTCTATATGCTGGTACCCGAGTGCACTTGCTGTCCAAATTGTATATACCGTTCAGTTGTACATCCGCGTTGCTGTCTGCGTAATTAACTTTTGAATAATTATTCCTCTTCTTTGTAGTACAAATTTTTTCAATGTGACCTTTCTTTTTACAGTAGTGACAAATTGCGTTAACAAAACGACATTCTCCTGAATGACGGTCTCCACATCGATAACACAGTCGTAAATTATTCTTCGATTTCATTGCATTAACTTCCATAGGTTCAGGAACGGGCGGTGACGAAACTGCCGTGAATTGAGTGCAGGTGACGGCCGCTGCGGTGCCCTGTATCATGCGAGCGTCTTTTCCCGCCGTCTCCGAAGCCAACATTACATTTACAACATCATCATATTGTATATTGTCTCTCTTCAGCAGCTCATATTGCAACTTATGGTCTAGCATACCACACACCAATCTATCGCGAAGCATACGTTCTAAATTTGTAAAATTACATCCAGAACTCATTTTTCGTAATTCTGCTATATATTCCGACGCTGATTCACCTTGATGTTGGTCACGTTTATAAAATTTATATGACATGGTGATTTCATTGCACTTTGGGCTGTAATGTTTGGTTAAGATATATTCAATTTCACTAAAGGTTACTTCATTTGATTTTCTAGGTGTTATTAACGCAAGAAGAGTGTCAAAAACTTGTTCACCACAAACTGTGAAAAAATTTGCCCTTTTCACTGAATCTGCGTAGATTCCATTGGCTTCAAAACAATATTTTAACCGGTCAATATAATTGTTCCACAAATCACTTTTTGGATTAAATTCACGAAAATTCACTGATTTGCGATCTACTGTTTGTAATTTATCCTGAGTCGCCATTATTATGTCCATTAAAACACGAAATTAAGTAATTCCATTTATTAAGCTATGTAGCCTGCACAATAACAAAACAGAAAAGTGCCAAGTGAACTAACTACCCACATATATTAATCTTATTCTTTAACAAGATAACCTGATGGTATTTTAATTAAAATATATTTGACATTCATACATTATGAACCATACAATTATCATCAGCTCATAATTGCAACTCTGCAAATGTCGGGCATTTCAAGATAGAAAGAGACATCGAGGATAGGAGCCTTATTTTGTTTAACGATTTGAAAACATCCTAATTTTGTGTTAAAATTATTATTTGTAGATTATCTGCATCAGTGACAGTATGAGCTATTGCCCTCATTACATAATCTATTTTCAAATTCAACAAGTACATTTGTTAAATTTCGTTTTCAAAGAAACAGAGCAGGCTTTTCACATGGGCCAAATCGAAATTATTATACAATGCTATAACAAAAATGATTTACAGAGAATTATTAAGTTAATATTTTACAGATTACTCCAAGAAGGCGTTGACCCCAAGGAACTGGACAACATGACGAAGCAATTTGGTTTCCCAGTAGGTGCTGCCACACTAGCTGATGAAGTTGGTATCGATGTAGGCTCACATATTGCCAAAGACCTCTCAAAAGTAAGAAGTATATCAGATATATTAATTATGTTCAAAATGTAATTATTTATTTATTAGGTGAAACACGGAAATAAATTTTTATATGACAATTCTTTCCAATGCGTAGAGAACTAAGGAAATATTTTTTTATAATTTAGGCAAGGTGGGCAATTGATGTTACGTAAAATTGTTAGGTTAAAGGACAAAATCAATTTATGGTTTATTTGAGTGATTTTAAGGTTCAAAGTTAAAAAAAAGCATTTTATTTAATTTTGAACCTTAAACTCACTTAAAAACCTATAGTTTTTAAACTAATTAACTGTAATATGGTCTAAAAATAAGATGGTATTTTCAGGCATTTGGAGATCGCATCAGTGGAGGTGACTTAAACATAATGCAAGATTTGGTAAAAGCTGGCTTCATGGGTAGAAAGTCGGGCAAAGGATTTTATGTGTATGAAAAGGGAACTAAAAATAGGGACGTAAATCAAGATGTCATCAAACTATTGAAAGAAAGGTACTCTTTAGAACCCCGAGGCGCCAACACAGTAGAGGATCAGCAATTAAGAATGGTGTCCAGGTTAGTCCTATATATATTTTTTTTGTTGTAAAAATAAATTCAAAATTCAAACAGCTAAATCACGCCCCAAAAAGAAATTTATTTTATAGCAATTGCTATATTACAATAGCTATGACCAAAGGACAGAGTAGTCGTGTGCCACAGATCATAACGAAACAAACTGTTGTGGCATACGACTACGCTGTACGTACTTACATACTGGCCAAAATCATAACCTCCGGTTTTGTTTCGCCGTAGTCGGATAAAAAGAGTTATAAAACTAACCCGGAAGTATTTTGGCGCTAATCTAATCAAATCTCAAAATCAAAATGACAGTTACCTGACAAAAAGTGATGCTCGTAAATGCGATCGACAAAATATACTGCCCATAGTATTTGATTATTTTTCCTTTTAATAGTCAACAACCTCATATAAGAAACGTAGTTATTAAAAAAATTCTATAAACATACTAAATAATAGCAGTTCTCTTCATTACAAATTTTGGAACTTATGAAAATGACATTATGTATTTACTTAATTATAGATTCGTCAATGAAGCAGTATTATCATTGGAAGAGAAAATTTTACACAATCCCCTAGAAGGCGACGTTGGCGCCGTATTTGGCCTTGGTTTTCCACCATTCACCGGTGGACCTTTCAGGTAATAATATTAGGACATTCACTTAATATTAGGACGACCTCTGAAACTGGATGGCTCGCATGCCGACGCCTATTTCAAGATGTCTCCATCTTTGAGATCCCAAGTTCGATTCCCAGTCAGATCAGTGTAGAAAATTAACCTTCCTACACTGTCTCAGATCTGAGTGTTTTGGTCAATTAATTGTTACAATTTACAAGTTTTTTATCCGCCGCCTTGTATTATACACTTGCGTAATTTGACAGATCACAGATTTGTCAAGGAATACATAACAAATTATTTACGAGTAAATAAAAAAATTTGCTCAGGTCAATATATGGTTTTAGCTCAGGTGATGAAAATGATTCCTTACTGGTTAAGCAATGACTTGTTTTAGGTTAGTGAAAACGGGTTTAAGGGAGGGTCAGTATTGAATGTTATGAAAAAGAATATATTCATTACAGATGGGTGGACCAATTCGGTGCTGATAAATTAGTAAAGAAAATGGAAGAATTCCACGGTCTTTATGGAGCACCATTCAAGCCTGCCCAGACCTTAATTGATATGGCCAAAGACAAAAGCAAGAAATTTCACACTAATTGATTTGAATCTTTTACGATAATTCACAATTACATATTTTAATTGTGAATTTTCTATTTGTATTTTATATCATCTGAATAGTTTATATACTATTGCTAATTTTAAAAAATTAGCAATCCAGCTATTGTCAATCCAAGTAATAATGTGCTTATAAATCATCGCCATCTTTCATTAATTTCATTGTCATTTTACATGTTAAAATTAATTTATTTACTTGACATTGGCAAAATTGTGCGAAATGCGCAGATAAGCCATTAATTAAAAAAGAAGAAGAATCCAGTTTTAATGTTTCTCAAACATTGTGATCTGTGTAAAAATGCAATGTTTATTTGTAAAATTAAAAGATAGAGCCACGTCTGTCGAATCAACATTTTTATTCATCTTCATGTATACACATAAATTACTTATATGAGTGAAAGATCGAAAGAAATAAAAAAGATGGCCCAAGTATGTATGAATATTTTGAAAATATATTGCATGACAAAATTTGTGCGAATGTTATAATGTCATTATTTATTATGTGTAGATCCGAGATTATTCTTATATATAGCTAATTGATAACATGTTGAACGATTAATAAAGTATTTATTGGTACCATGTTTTTTTTTTCATTATTATTTAGTAATTCATTTGTAAAAAGACACAAGAATGGCGATGTCTATTTAGTTACTGATTTGATAGAACGCCCTCAATATTCCGATGCCTGAATATACTTAAAACAATTGAGATTGATTGCGGTGTTCATTGTGGTGCCAATGTACTGGTAGCAGCTCAGGGAACACCACAACCGATCTCGATCCCCTTTTTACGAACCAGTACCACCAGGAGCACCACAAGGAACAAGGGGATTTTTCAATTATTTTTCTTTAGTCTAGCGACATCTAGACGCCAGTTGAAACGCGTTGCCGGTGTCCAAATTTATTTATTAAAATCATTAAAATTTGCTCTCTAACTAGATTGTTTAGTTAAGATCCAGTGGTTTAGCGTGCCTTGGAGGAGCCTAATGAAAAGTAAAAATTTTTGGTTAGTTATTAAGGGGACCCTGTATCCCAGGTGACCCGTATCATTGATATGTGAGAGGGTGATATGGAGGGTTTTGTCAGGTAGACCAACTGACTCATCCAAATCAATCAAATATTAAGGTTCTTGACTTTGGTGTAAAAAAAGGTATGCCGAGATAGAACCTGGTTATGTTTAGTCTCGGATTTAGAGAAGTTGCCCAGATTGTGGAATTCGATTTTCAATTAAATTATTAGTTCATAAAATTGCCACAGTGAAAAAGGGTATATTAAAGAACACTTATAAACTTGTATATTCCATTTTATTCTATTTAAGTGTTAACAAATTAGCAAAATCTAAGTGTTCATAACATTTTCATCATATATAACACATAAATTAGCAATCATAACATTGAATATTTCATTGAGGTCTTATTTAAAAACATCACAAATCTCTAAAAATATATATAGGCACATTTAAGTAACATTGAGGCACTGTTTACATATCAATAAATTACATTTATTTGTGCTTATTAGCTGGTATATCCCATTGTATACCATTTCCAGGTAAAGGACTGTGAATAAATGGTGAAATCCAAGTCACATACCATTTACTGCCAAATACTTCTATCAAATTTGATCTCCACCCTTTATCATACTTAAAACCCATTAATTTCTTTTTAGTTTCAGGCACTATCTCACCTTTTAAAATATTATTGAAATGGTAGAAAAATAGAAATCCTGTAAAAACACCTACAATAACATTTATTACAACTAACAACACATATAAACTTTCACTCCCAGAGTCAATGACAAAACTTGCAAGTGGTAAAATAAATTTAGCAATTATCAAACCATGATTCCATGTTATGAACTGTGCAACAAACTTTATATTAAAGTAGAATGAATAGACCATTGCTATAAAAATGTACATAGTAAATAGGATAAAATATCTGTGGTTGTAATAACCAACACAGCAAGCAAAAAATGTACAGTGGTGATCTCTTTTCAGTATACATGTATTACAAAGATCACAATGCCAAGCACGTTGTGGTCGTAGGCTTTCACAAACGGAACACATTGTCCAGTTTTCTTGATTGTAGCTATAAAGAATTTTTCCTTTAATACTTGTATCTGTAAACATACCGTAGATCATGTTTCCAATAATATTTAACAATAAAAAAGCGGCACAGAATAAATGTATAAAATAAGGCATGGTCCATTGTTCAGTAACAGATGGCAGAACAATGCAAATTTCAAAGTATAGAAAGCCTGGTATCAGAACAAAGACTATAGCCAGGTAAAATATATGTTCCAAAAACCTTTTTAATTGTTTGTTACCGACAGATTCGAATTTTATGATCATTTTTGAAAACAGGCTAAGCTTCGGGTGTAGGTTGTTTTTCTTAGTTTTTACATCTGAAAACAATAAACTTAATTATGTACTTATGTTTGTTTTATTTATTAGCTACACATGTTACTATTTCAATCTTGCTGATTGTGATTTCTGGTTGAGATTTCTCAATGGGATTTGTTTTACTAATAAAAGCAATGGAATAAATACCTACTTCAACTAAACAAATAACTATCTGCTCTAGTCTAGTTTACACGAAACACAATTTTTTTGTTAATTCAATAAAAGTAACAAATTATTTAAATTTCTTCAGCATAGAAATGGTAAGTTAAGCAAAAATCTAATTTCTTCTTCTTCTTTTTAATTAATGGCGATGCCCTTATGGATTTCGCCAGAGTCCAGTGTTTCGCTCAGATTAATTCATATTTAGATATTTTATAAACTCTGCTTTTTGTAATACAGAAGTGAAATCTCAAGTTAAATTTAGAATTTTGTTGTATTTAAATTATAGACGAATGTTATTACTCTTAATATAATTACATAAGACGATTATAAAAGGAGAGTTAAGATATCTTAAGACTAAATCTAATTTACATATTTTCCTAATTTATGTCATTTGAGGAGTACTATTATTCTATGGTCATTTGACTGTCCACAGAACATTTACTCCTGTTGAATTCTGTGTGGTTTTTTATGTCACTGTTATAGTAGTATGATAGTCTTCTTCTTCTTCTTTTATTAATGGCTTATCTGCCAATTTCGCACAATTCTGCCAATGTCAAGTGAATAAATAAATTTCTACATGTAAAATGAATATGAAATGAATGAAAGATGGCGATGAATAAAAAAAAAAGTATGATAGTCATATGTTAGTAGACGTCCATGGGACAGGCGAAGAAATGTCACTGTTATTCATTCGTTATCACTTTTTTATACCCATTAGGCAAAGGGATCTAGGCAAATATAGCTAATTCTAAGATATCTGTGCGGTCTCAACTATTTTAATTTAACCCTTAGTATAGCTGGTGGTAAAAAGTTACAAGATGAGCCTAGTGGGTCTCTTAAATCCAGATTTTCAATTGGATATTTTGTACATTCTCTGTATATTTTATTACCATAATGCAAAATGTGGGTTCGAGTTCCGTCTCAGAGTGCCAGGGGCAAAATGGATTAGAGCAAATATAATAATTGTAACAAATTTTCATCGTTATCGAAACTAAAAATTTCGGGTATTTGGGTGGAACTTTAATGAAAATAGGTAATAGTAGCGAAAAAGTAAAAAGTGCTTGAAAAATTTGCAATTTTGTTAGATCCTAGGTAGCCAGTGGTTAGAGCAGTCGCCCGGATTGCGAGAGGTCATGGATTTGAGTCCCGTCTCAGATTGCCAGGGACATGGTGTATTTTTTAAAGCATTTTTTAATAAGAATATTTTTCGGTATAGCATTGTAAAAGCAAAATTGATCCGAATATAATAATTAGATCTTTGTCGAAAGTTTAAATACATGCCTGTTTAGTGGATTGCCTGAACATTTATGAAAATACGCTCTGTAATAGCGAAGAAGTAACAAATGCTTGAATCTCATCTCATCTCATTTATAAAGAACTAGCTTTCCGCCAGCGGCTTCGCCCGCGTGTTCCGCTGGTACCTTACTCATACATCTAAACTCCCCTCCCGCACGCACACCCCCGCCTTGGTGACGCCCATTTCGCAACGGGCCGTGCAGCAGAAATCATATTTTAATTTCGCCATAACTTCAAAACCAAATGCCCAATTTTGATCATTAAAAGACCAAATATCATCATCACTAAGTACAGTTTATACTTAGTGATGAAATAATTTATTTTGATAAGGATTAATAGCATGAGTAAAATAAACTCGTTCAAATGTAGTCCAAAAAATATTCAAGATTTTTAAATTAAATAATGGTTGTTGTGCCTCACTCGACATAGATAGGTATAGTTTGTCGCGGACTTTTTTGTAGATATTTATAAGATCTACAAATAATTAGAAAATTGTATGGTTCTATCATTTATAATTTAGGCAGTGTACGCAAAATAAGCAACTTTTCTGGTTGATTTTTTACGCCTTTTGTCCAAAAAACCCAAATATCTTACGGAACTCTATTTCTTTCCATAATAAAATATAGCCTATGTTACTCCTGGATAATGTAGCTTTCGAATGGTGAAAGAACTTTAAAAATCGATCCAGCAGTTTTTGAGCATATTCATTACAAACAAACAAAGTTTTCCTCTTTATAATATTAGTGTAGACTCAAGTTCAGTACATTTAATTATGTTATATTTATAATAAATCACCCAGTAGATATACTTTCATTCAAAAAATGAAAAGCAGCACCATCCATTGAAAGTTAAAAATCTCTCAAATTACTCTTCCACAGACTGTTAATTGGTGGTTAATTTTGAATGTAAATATGTGAAAAATAAAATTGTTTACATTTTGAAATACAATTTCTTAATTTATGTAATTTATTTAATTAGTTCTTTTTACAAAAATACACTTAAAAATAGATCCTTTTTAAAAATAACATATCAATTAAATAAATTAGCAAAGTAATATCCAATAAAGAAATTAATTATAAACTTTCGGAATAACCGTTTTGATTTAAATATGTCAAAAACAAAATTTATTAAAGTTTGATCTAAATGTTATTATAAAATAGTCAGCATAGCAAGTGGCAATAATCTATATTTATGGTAAACGATTATACAAAAACTTTATGATTACATTAAAGATTCAAATTGTTTATGTCTGCTATTCACTTTCAATTTTCCCAAGTATATGGGAGCCTTTTCTTTTATTTTACGTGGCTATCTTTATTATTTATCTAAATATCTTTTTATAATTAATTATATAGCTCAGCTTAGTATAGGCAACTGCGCTAATTGTGTTGAATATTTTTTTTATACACGCACACAGATGCTAATGTGGTTTAATTTTTTCAATGCGTGGAATTCGTTAGTTGTCGAGATACAATTTGATGTTTTATGAACTTTGACAAATGTTTTTGTCTTAACCACTGACTTTATCGAAAAACAAAGGGATATATTTGCACAGACCCTACTTTCGTGATTGTTTTTTTTTTCAAAGTCTTTTCAAATAAATTTTCATAGTTACAGTATTTTACTAATTGATTTTATACATATATCTACACTACTCATTAATTCATTCATTCATCACAATGGGTGAAATTTTCGACAGCTGGCAATACAATATCAATTACCCATTTTTCCGTTCATTCATATATCCTAAGAATTTCGTACGTCAATTCCTAATCTAACATAATAATAGTCACAGTCAAAGATTAACTTATATACATAACTCACTAAATACAGAATGTCACTATTCGCTTTACTGTCTTTCTGGAATGTTCGTGTTTGGTAATATTTGTGATAAGTATCTGCTACGAATTCTATCAGATTGTAGTTGTGCGACGTCCCTTTGTGGAACAGGTTCCTGAACATTATCAGGCCTTCTCGAATCTGTTTCCTCTAAATCATGATTCTCTTCATTCTCCAAAAGATTTGCCGTTTCTTCAGTGCTACTGGGGTAACTGAAATGCAGAAATTTTATTATTCGATAATAAAATTTGTATATTTGTGTCCCACACACGCACGCACGTGTTACTAGAAAGTAACTCAGTATGATATTTGCATTCGGTTATAAATGTAATAATAACACTTTATTTATAACTTCGAGGTCCAGCAGTCCAGCATTAGTACCAAGAGGACTGTATAAAAAACATTAGCACTAGCAATCAGTGCGTGGTAGCCATATTTCTTTCGATACGTTATTATATAAATATGTATTTAAAAGGGGTAGTCTCTTCCTTTTTTATAGATAATGGTATTTTCTTGTTATATACCTTTCGCACGTGTATCAAACTCGCACTTGGACGGTTTTTATTATTTTTTATAGCGTTAACAAAATAACAAAAAAAAAACAAACGTTATTATTATTACTCATGCACATATTATATGAACTTGGTGAATAACTTACATTTTCATTGATTCCCTCTTGCTCGGTGACAGATTTAGCACACCATCAGTTGCAGAGTCAATTATGTAAATTAATACAGCAGCAATAAGTGAAACTACAATGAACAAAACATATATTAGAAATAATCATATCAACAAATAAATTCTTTTTCTTATCAACTCAACAACAATACCCATGGAATAATTAAATTAATATAAATAAGGAATATTAATATGTACATTTAAATTAATAATACCAAAACAAACTTACCAAAGAGACAACTCAAAAAGAACATTTCCAACATCAAATATCCATATTTGTCAACAATAATACCGGCTAAAATCAAAACAGTAGCTAAACCAAAGTTTTGAACGGCTTGACATCTGTAAATAATTAGAAAAATATATTATTACAAAAAAAAATATGCTTCCAATTTGGTGGTGTAAGAGTGGGCACCCTGTTTGTGTGTATCGCTCCCATGAGGAGCGTATGGTTCATTACATTTTGACATCAGAAATATTAGTGGATTATTTGTAGGCAAACTTGGCACGTGCCTAGAGGTGCGATAGTTATCGAAAAAGTACTTGACCCGCGAATTGAGTAAGCGTATAAGCCTGCTGGTTACAGTGGTAACTGACAGTTTAAAGTCGTGATCACCGTAAAAAGTGAACAATTCCAATCTGTCCAAATCACTTATTCGCCCTTCTCTGTGCGTAAGCGGCGGTCATAAGGGTGGGCAACACCCTTATGACCGCTTACACACAGAGCTCTATCACAAAAAATTTTCAGTTCCCTTCAGTTACATATTAAGGGGTTTATTTCTATTAAAAATATTGCATTGGGTTAATTTATAAACATGCGCAAAGAAATCTAGCAGTGTATATCTTGCACTTGCATACTAATAGATTTTTTTTATACATTTTTGTTTGTGATAAATTTAAAACACGAAAGTTGAATTTATTGGATGTATGATCAACGGGTGCTGATGGAAGCTTACCTAGAGCGCCGTACATTCTCAATCCGATTTCACCGATCACAAATATAGTAGGTATATCTTGTAGGTATACGTATACCTCTACTTATATTGGCACGATAATACTGGGCGTTGAATAGGACGGAAATCTAAGGCGCTGTATTACACCATGTACACCTGTACATGTACACCTTATATTCATTTTCAAATTTAGATCTATAAATTTTAGTTGAACGTTCATCATTGAAATTTGAGTTCAACGCCGCTTTTTTTGTATTTTTTATACTACATATTATGCATATACGCGTACGATTAATATACAATAACTCCCCTTAATAATCACTACATTACAATTAGCAACGAACTTACATGCCATATGCAGTGCCAAGTTGATTTTCTTGCACAATCAATGCTACTAGTGGCCATAGTCCACTTGCTAGCAATGAATATGAAATCCCTAGTGATACCTGAAACAACAAGTCATATATTTAACATTATATCTGTATAAGACACATTAACAAAAATGTTAACATTTATATAATAAATTTATATACTTTGAAGTATTAATAAGACACATCTATGTATAAGGCAATGTAAAATAACACAAGTATGTAAAGAAATGTAACAAACAAAAGCGATCTACGGTTAACTGGTTAAGAAGTCGGTTATTACTATGTTAGAAGTTACTTCAAACATATCATGGAGCCCCAACCATAAGTTGATTAGTATAATTTATTATAATTACCACTCCAATATAAGGGTTGCAGAATGTAAATGCCAACATAGCATGAGCTCCAATGGTGGTTACTATACTGATGATGACCCACATAACATTTCTTCCAGTTTTGTCAATAAGAATACCAAAGAATGGACTTAAAGCTGCAGAAAGTAAGTATACCATGGAATTTACATTGTTAGCGTCTTGAGGTGTGAAATCGAATTTACGTTCAAAGAATAATCTGTAACATATAATTGATTAAAACAATACACAAATAGAACAAACATGCGTATTTTACAATGCATCACGTAATCATATTATTTATTACTATAATAGTAGTCAAAATGAGTTTGAAACACAACTGATATTTCTAGCAGTGGCGTAGCGTAGTGGAGGCAGGCTCGCCCCGGGCGGCACTTTTTAGGGGGCGGCAAAATTTTACAGTATACACTAAAATATATTTTTTAAATAGTTGAACTATTTCATATTTTTAACACAATTATAAATTCGAGCCGAATGAAAAGAGCACGGAATTTTTCATTACTTATTCTGGCAACCCCTTTACTGACTTACGGGGATTCCCCGTATTTTATTTTATGCTTGGATTGTCTATGACTTATAATCAGCAAGAATGACTTCTATTACATATGTATTAAGTTAAATATTGTTTATTACATCCCTTTAGGAAAGTACCTACGTGATGCTTTGACAATTCAAAGAAAGTTTTATTCATGGATCATCAGTTGTTTAGTTCATTTTTTATTTCAAATTTAATTTTATAACAAGACAAGCCCGTTTATTAGGATACAAGTCAGTGTGCGAGGAAAACAGTACACCCAGACGAGGAATTAAAATTAATAATTCGTAAATCACATGAAGAATTGTCCTTTGTGACGATCGAACCCACAACACTCGATCCGTGGGCAGTTGCATGTAGACAACTCAACCACACTAAATCTACCTGTATAATGCAAAATAATAATAACGCCACTAAGCACCGGCTCTGCCTATAAAACCTTATTATTTTGATGTTCTTTATGGTTTTTTTTTTAAATATTGTATTTTTTATAGATTTTGTTTTGTTATTATATGTCATTAAAAAATGTCTATTCGAGTATACGTGTTTTAATAATTTGTGCTCTTCAAAGTTGTGTTCAATATTTTGGTGTCAGTGTGGTTAGCAATCGTAACGTACTATGCCCCTAACAAGAGCACAGGCAAAAAGTATCAATTTGGAAAAACCAGGCTCCATCGTGGCTCACAGACAGGATAGCGCCCGCACCTGTGACTCCCTCGCGCCCATATCCTGCGAGCCCGAAGGTAACATGCCTCAATCATCCATAGTTGATTCGAACAAGTCATTGACCAAATCGCACAAAAGCTTTAGCTCTAACGTCAGCTCTAAAAGCACAGTAAGAGCTCAAAAGTTAGCTGCGCAGCTAGAACATGCGCAGCGGTTGGCTAAAATTGAGGCAGAGCGCGAAAAAGCAGCTGCAGAACGCGAAAAGGCAGCTGCCGAACGCCAACAGGCTCTATCAAAACTAGAATTAAAGGCCCAGCTGGCCGCGATCGCATGCAGATCTTCTGGAAGTTCTAAAACGAACTACATCGAAAACTGGTTAGTAACTTCTGAAATTAATGGTAGTGCTCTAGAGCAAAATAATCCTTTGCGTGAATTTTCCAGGAAAGAGGTCTCTGTTCTTACGCCAAAAGCAGTGCCCATTTCCGGTGCCGCCCCAGAGGCCTATGGGGCCCCTGCGGTACCAGAACAGTGTATGAGCAGCCTTCCAATTGGCGAAGAACTCCCGGCGCAATCCGTGGAAAACACTGCTCATGTAGGCACACATCACACTAAAGTCAACAATCCGTGTAATTGTAACAACATTAATAAAATTTCGGAAATCACACTCCTCACACAGGCGATCAAGAATTTGAAGCCATCGACCGGAAATAAGGTTTGTGACCTTCCATTTTTTACGGGCTCTCCATCCGAGTGGCTATTCTTTCGCAAGATGTACGAGAGAACCAGGTGCCGCTTTGATGACATAGAGAATCTGTCAAGGTTGTCATTGGCTCTTAAAGGTCAGGCTCGGGACGCAGTCGCTACTCTCCTGGTTGCGTCAGATGATCCCGAGGAGGTTATTTTTGCATTGGAGCAACAGTTCGGGAATTCTGAATTGGTTGTTCTCAACACATTAGCAGAGGTAAGAGCTTTGCCCAGAATTGGGAATTACGACTCTGGTAAGGAACTAAACGGGTTCGCCTGTAAAATTCGCAACTTTGTGTCGACAATACGTTTATTACGTTGTATTGAGTATTTAGCCTGCCCGGAGTTAGTAAACTCGATTCTCGGTAAGCTATCTCCCCTTTTAAGGGAAAAATGGGTCGACTTTGCATTCTCTCAGTCCGGGTCTGGTCGCTTCAAGCTGGAGCTCCTTTCGGATTTCCTTGTTCATGAAGCTCATATTCATTCGAAATTTGGTATCATAGCAGATATGGGCTTTCGCGACAAGGGCCGTCCGGAGAGAGCTCATTTTGTTGCGACCAAAGAGATTGCAAGTCCGACACCGGCCTTACCCTCGGTTGCTATGCATAAACCTATTGTCAAAAATAACAGACCGTGTTTATATTGTCAGTGTCAAACTCATGAAATTGAAGTCTGTCAAAATTTTTTATCGTTGTCAGTTGATCATAGATTAAAGTGGGTCACAGACAATAAGGTTTGTCGCAAGTGTCTTACTAAAGGTAGCCATAGATATGCTATATGCAAGAAAACTTGTACAGTCGAGGCATGCAAGTTCCGACGACATCATACTTTGCTTCATAAAGTCAACGACAATAATTATAATATTGAAGTTGAAGCAGGGAGTAGTTCGTTGGAGCCCGCACCTCCTGCCACTATCTATACGCCACCCGACTGTCTTCATGATGAGGACGTTCAGAACATAGCCCATGTCGCCGATCAATGTCCTAACTCCTTTAAACCTCTCCTTAAGGTAATAGCGGTTACTTTGACTGGATCCAAAGGTAGTTTTGACACGTGGGCCTTACTAGACGATGGGTCTACCGCTACCTTCATAGACTCTGAGGTCTCTCAAAAGATAGGAGCTACTGGTCCGAAATCTCAAGTGCACGTTAAATGTGTAGGAGGTTTGAACAAACTCTCTACGGTCGAATTCGTAGATTTTACGATAAGGGGTCGAACCAGTGATAACGCGCAGTTAGTTCGTGGAGCACGTTCGATTCCTGACTTAGGCATTTCGAAACAAACACTTAGACGAAGCGATTTAAATTATAATCACTTGAGGGATCTTACTGATGTTTTATGTTTTGAAAATGTCCAACCAACAGTTATCTTAGGTGTTGATAATTGGCATTTGACCCTACCTTTGGAAGTTCGTAAGGGCACTAGGACTCAACCAGTAGCGTGCCGAACTATTTTAGGGTGGGTAGTTTTTGGTTTTCATTCAAGTAAGTCAACTCCTGTACATTTTGTTAGTGACGTCTTATGTATAGAGGAGCACGAAAGTTTAGTTTGCAAGGAACAAGAAAGTACAAATTTAGATATTTTAGTTAAAGATTATTTTAAATTGGATTCTGTGGGAATTTCTAACAAAGATAATATGGCTTCATCTGATAAACGAGCTATAAAGATATTAAATGAGACTACTAGTCGCCTCGAATCTGGTAGATTTGAGACTGGTCTGTTATGGCGGGAAGATAACATTAACCCTCCAAATAATTATACTATCGCGTTGTCAAGATTCAAACTTTTAGAACGAAAATTCCAAAAAGATCCAACTTATGCTCAAACGTACAAATCTCACATTCAGTCTGTAATAAATAAGGGTTATGCTGAGTTGTGCGTCGAACCTCCGCAGGGGGTTACTTGGTATTTACCCCACTTTGGAGTTGTGCACCCTCAAAAACGAAAACTGAGAGTTGTCCATGATGCGGCGGCAACTTATCAGGGGGTAAGTCTGAACTCTCTTCTTTTATCAGGACCAGACTTACTCCAACCTCTACCTTCCATTTTAATGCGGTTTAGGGAAGGACGCATCGCTCTTAATGGGGATATAAAGGAAATGTTTCCACAAACGAAAATTAGGCTAGAAGATCGGGACGCCCAGCGTTTCCTGTGGCGAGATTCTCCTTCTGAACCCATTATGGAGTACAGGATGGCGTCAATGATATTTGGAGCGACCTCGAGCCCCTTTACTGCTCAATTCCTTAAAAATAAAAATGCATTGGAACACCAAAATTTCTTTCCCGCAGCATGTAATGCAATAATCAACGATCATTACATGGATGATTATTTGGGAAGCGTGGATACCGAGGAATCGGCTGCTAGACTGGCGGCTGACGTCTTGGAAGTACATTCCCGCGCTTGTCTCCAAATGTGTTCATGGGTGTCCAACAGCAAGCAAGCTCTTAACCTCATACCACCAGAACTTCAAGCTGTTGACCAATCAGAAGTAAATTTGTCGAATCCTCTCGATCAGTCATCGGTCAAAGTTAAAGTTCTGGGGGTCTCTTGGAACGTCAATGACGACACCTTAGCGTTCACTAGGGCGGTTAAAGAATCCCATAAACTCACGAAACGCGAGGTGCTCTCTAAACTAATGAGCGTTTACGATCCCCTGGGATTATTGGTACCTGTAGTTATCAAAGGACGCATTCTATTCCAACAGATATGGCGGTCTGGAATAGGATGGGATGATTTACTGCCGCCAAGTTTTTATAATAAGTGGCAAAATTGGTTGACAGACTTGAGCGAGGCCGCGAACTCGGTAGTGCCCCGATGTTATTTCAACCACTCTAGTCCTATTATTGAACGACAACTTCATCTTTTCGCCGACGCCAGTGAGCATGCTTACAGCTGCGTTGCATATTGGCGTTTCAGATGCCAAGATGGAACTGTCAAGCTTGCTCTTATTGGTGGAAAGGCCAGGTTGGCTCCGTTAAAGCCAACTTCAATACCGCGGCTTGAGCTCCAAGCAGCTCTTATCGCGGCTCGTTATGCTTCATATATACACGGAGCTCATAAGCACAAACCTGAGGCGACGTTTTTCTGGTGTGATTCAATGACGGTTTTAAAATGGCTACGTAGTGATGCCAGAACGTTTAAAGCTTTTGTCGCCTATAGGGTTGGCGAAATTATTGAAATTAGTGATCTAGCCAGTTGGAGATATATTCCATCAGCATTGAATGTCGCTGATGACGCAACCAGGCTAAATTGTAAGTTTCAATTATCACGTTGGCTCTCTGGACCTGATTTTTTATTAGTTTCGTCGGAAACCTGGCCCCAAGAGCCATCGTCTCTTTTCACGTCACGATGCCTTGATGAGATTAAATCTCCTCCTCGAGACTTCGTGGCTCAAATCGATCATCATCATTCATCCTCTCATTCTTCATTGTCAGATTCTTTTCATCCATCATTCCAGCCGGCACAAACCAGCTCAGTCCCTCAATTTATTTGCCCTATAGTCGCTGATCATTCGCGTTTTAGTAATTGGACCAGGTTGGTTCGTGCAACGGCTCGCGTTCGTTTTTGTGCAAATAAATTTATAAATATTTTAAGGCGCGATAATAATTCTTGCAATTTATTAACTGCTTCTGAAATTATTAAAGCCGAATTACACTTACTCCTTGTATCCCAAGCGGAGTCATTTGCAATAGAGCTCACATATCTTCGCCGGTCCGTACCCATCCCGAAACAAAGACAGTTCTTGCCGAAAAAATCTTTTGAATTAATGAATATAATGTTTAGTATATTTATATAAAATACCTCATTACGAGGGGCGGCAAAATTGTCTTCCGCCCCGGGCGGCAGTCACCCACACTACGTCACTGATTTCTAGCTACATTCTGCTATAAAAAGATTAATAGTCAAATTGTTTCTCTTTCTTATTTTTCTTTACCACATTACAAAAAAAAATCATTGACACACAGAGAGTGATCTCTCTAAGTGTAGGTGAATGTATAAATTTTTATTTTGTTTCATTTCTTATCATAACATGTATATCATCATTACTCACTTTCCAAGGGCAATAAATGGGAATATTGCAAGATAATATGCAACACAAATCACAGAAACCAGCCAGAATGTAGATTTAAAATGAAATATATCTGTCAAATGGAATGGTTCTTCATTCGCATGTTCCTCACGACGTCCCAAGATTTTCTCTGCTCTGTGATCCATCCAACCCAGTAGAAGACCACATATAAGTGATACCAAGCAAGTCAAAGAAGCTAAAAGTTACAATTTGATTTACATAAGAATACATAACTAAAGAAGAAAGAAAGGTTCCTCGAACGCAGCTACGGCTCCTAGCTATCCGAAAATCGTATTCTGGCTTTCAACCATCAAAATGAAGCTCTGATTCATCTGTCAGTGACCTGAGATATCAATCAGATTTTTTAACTTCATTCACTGCAGATCAATCAAAGTGACAAATTGATAGACCAATTAGAGTGGCACACTGCATATCGCTATTTATCCGATTGGTCTGTCTGGTACTGGCATATCAATAAGGGTTTCATTTCGACATTGTTAGAATAGTTAAATGGTAGAGTCACTGGAGTATTTAAATGTGATGTACAGAGTCCGGCATTATATAAGTGAAGGAGGTGAATCAAACATTACAATGCACAACCTGTAACTATAGAAATTCGAGCATTACATTGATGAAGGAAGAAAACCGAGCATACAGTGCACAAATTGATAATACTTGAAACATCTGAAATATACTAGAAACATCTGAAATAGTTAAGTTTGGGGGCAATATAGTAATGTAATGCTCAAAATCAAATTTGAAATGTTACATTACAAGCATTCGCTTGTGTTATAAGTAAGGGGACACCTTTAAATGCTGTACTCAAATACACATAAGTAAGCTAATCAAGATATTTACCAATAAATAAGGTCACTCCTAAGCGTTCATAGCCACCATAATAATTTGCAACCCATCTATAGACAGGTTCCATAACCCAGAAATTAACTGTGCTTCCAAATCTTGAAAAAGATAATTGAAGACCGAAAACCATATTCAGTTCCTTTCCTTTGAACCAAAGCACCACATAACTATTTACTGCAACTTGCAAAGATTCCCCACCAATTCTATAAAAATATAATTAGTATTGCAAATTATAAAATATAACAATCACAAAAAAGGTGTTCCACAGATAAATAAGTTTATAGTAATTAACTAAACAAAACATTACCCAAATATAAATCTGCCAAGTATCATTAACCAAAACGCATTTATGTAAGCTCCAAGGGCAAATACTATAGCTCCAACAAATACTATAACCATATAGATTACAGTACCCAATCGTACACCAAAGTATCTGGAAAGAGTAAAAAGAAACTAAATCATTTCAGTTTTGTGGAAAATTAACAAGCACTTGAAAGACCATTCAGTTACAAACATATGATAAGAACAAACTTAAGTTAGCATACCAAAAAAAAATAATTTATATGTGATATGCTTTTGGTAATGTCGATGAATGGCTAAAACTGCAAAGAGACCAAATGTGAAGTCGTTTTATGCTATGTATGTAATTCTTAAGTGAGTTCTGAAATAAAAGAAATTAATAAACCTAAATTTACAGAAGTTAAAAAATGTTATTGGAATCTGAAATCAAAGAATAAGTTGAGGTAATAGGGAATATACGTCTGATTAAAAATGGTTATATATTTTATTATGATTAAGCACATGTTACTTTTTTGCTACTACAGATTCATCTTTGCCTGCTGTCTGGGTGGATTGCCTGAACATTGATGACAATACACTTTGTAATAGTGAAAAAGTAACAAGTGCTTGAAAAATTTATTAGTTCTGTTAGGTCCTGGGTAGCTCAGTGGTATCATTAGAAGCATCTTAGTTGTCTACATGTCTTTCTTAAGCTCTTAGCTTACATTAAATTGGCAACAGTGCTCACTATTGTGAGCTATAGCTATAAAATAAATTTCTTGTTACAAACTTTTTAGAAAGTCATTTAGATGTAGTCGGGTTTTAGTTTTTTTATTCTCAATTATTATTGTTACTAAATTTTAGTTTCTCGGTGCCAGGTGTTTTTTAGTTATATAACAATGTAAATGAAAATATTTTCAAAAATGTGCATATTCTATATTATAAGATTATAATGTTAATAAGTTATTACATTACAAATTAGAAAGTCATACTATAGAAAACTGAACAATAAAGTGGCAGACAATTTTGAATAAGTCACATGTCAATTGGCACTCTTAAAACATAGAGATCTCACAGATATTACTTTATTCCTAAGATAGTTTAAAATCTAAACCATTATGTAAAACAATGCTTTTTAATGTTCTATACCAATTGTTTAAATCCTTCACAAAATTAATCCTTTAATATTATTATATAATTAAATAATGCAGTGGCCTTAATAAATGATTTGTACAAGGCTACAATAATTATTTATTTTGTTGTGTTGTATAATAAGGTTATACAAATTGTCTGAGTGAGGCTTCATTGAAGAGGCACAAAATGTTGGTAGACAAAATTGGGCCAGAGTAGATAAGACTTGAAAATAAAGCGAGTGATTATTAATTAAACTACCATTCAAATTCTATCAAGTGACACCATCAATAAACAATTTTCATCTTATTCTGACATAGGTAACAGATAATTATAATAATTTATTTTGCTTAAGATAAGAAACATAAGCATAACAAAAGGTCACTCACACAAAGTAACTATGACTCATTATTATGCAGTTTGTCTGTACTAAAATAACATTATAAATCCAAATGGAGACTTACAAGTATCTATTTACAATGTTTATTTTGATCAGAGTTCTTATTTTGAAAAGAATTATAATTAAAGTGCTAATTATAATTAATAAAACAAATTTTAAAAATTATACATTACCTATCCACCAAATAACCACCAATGAAACATAGTATGACATTAGGCCAGGAGTATATAGAATAAAGTAATGCAAATTGTGATGTGTTTAAATGGGCATCATCTTTAAAATTGTCTGCTAATGCTCCTGGTGTATCATAGCAAAAATATGATCCTAAAAATACAATGATAATATAATAATTTGCATTTAAAAAGAGATAAACAAAATATTTGTATTATATTAATAAAACAAGTGTAATATAGAATAAAACTCACCAAAACAAAGAAAGCACATCAAAAGTAGTGCTATAAATCTATGCACTTTATTGGCAGGATGACACCATGATGTTGGTGGCAGCATATTTGCAGTATCACTTTCGTTTGGTTCAGGATTATCCATGCTAAAATTTCAAATAAGATCGAGTTAATTTCAAAGCTGTAAGAAGATACAAAATTCACTAACCATTGAAATATCTAAAAAATTTAAGGACCTTCTTTAAAACTGAAACTTTGCAACAATTACTTATGTTTTAGCTTCGTTCTTTTGTGTTTTTTTTAGTGAAAATGCATTTGTTGTCGTTTACGCCCACAAATACAAGAACACAAGTTGCAAATAATTTTAAGAATCTGTACAATAAAAATTCAACTAGTAACGGCTATTTAAATATGTGAAAATTTATGAAATTATAATCTTTCCCACACAGACCTTGCAAAGATACAAAAAAAAAACGAAAGGAATAAATGAAAAGGGCTTTTCTTTATACCAAAACACAACGCACAAAGCACTCAATAACTAATTTGACATTTGCCTTGACTTGACATTTATATATTCTCTGTCAAAGAATAGTATTATATTATAATCTGTGCTTTAGTTTAACATAAATGATTATTAAGGATGTAATATCTAATCGATTAAAATAAAACTAACTGTTTCCATTTAGGAGATAGAAAAAAACAATTATGAAAATCTGATAACTAACTTAAATTAAGAACTAAAATTACTGTTTCTGATTCAGTTTTCGGTTAAGAGTTGACAGAAATGTGGAGAAAATAATTTCTCCATCTAATACTTGTACAAATCAATGTAAGACCTAACTGGGACAATGAGCAAAATTGATGTAATTTCAAGTAATATATTTTACATAAAAGCTGAGATATGATAAATAATCAACATGTAAAATCCGTATCATATAAAAATCCTTATAATAAGACAACAGTATATTATTGTAAAAAATTTTTTCTAGACGACGTATTATTGAACATTTTTTAGAACAATAAATATTTATTGTGTATTTAAAAAACTGTTGGTATTTATTATCTATATCTAATACAAAAAACCCAATTATTATTTGGCGTTAATGTTTGTATGCTTCGACTTCTGTCTATTTTACGTTAGTGAATAAAAATTATAATAAATAAATCTTATTTTTATTGATAATTTTGTAAGAAGTAATTTCTATTGGTAAAATTATAAAACTCTCTTTAAATATATTTGTTGTTTATTTAAATTAATTCTAGAAATGAAAAAATAAAAGTATGAAATTTTTATTCGTGTCAATTAATAGTTTACTATATAATAATCGATTATATTACAACATTACATCCCTAACGCTCGGTAGTAGCTCGGTGGCGTAGTGGTTACGCGCCGCGGCCCGCCATCGTAGTCGTTAAGCAACTTTCGCAAGGGTCGGTCACGTGATGGGTGACCAAAAATTATTATCTCGTGCTACTCCGTGCTTCGGAAGGCACGTTAAGCCGTTGGTCCCGGCTGCATTGGCAGTCGTTAATATCCTCCAATCCACATTGGGTCAGCGTGGAGGGTCATGGCCCATCCTCCTTAACCATCCATAAGGAAGGCCTGAGCCCCTGCAGTGGGGACATAAAAAGGGCTGGTGATGACATCCCTAACAATGTGTATTTACACTTTTTTTTTCAAGCATGCAAAGGAATCTAGCCCATACAACTTTGAGCTAATATTATGACTAAACTCAAAGTAATGTAGTAGGATAATGAAAAAATGTATAGTGAGTAAGTATAAGTCAGTGAGGGAATGCGAACGAGAGCTATGGTCACCTCACTATTTTTGTGTTAAACAGAAATTTGAAATATCTCATTTTACTCGAGCGGGAATCAAATGCGGGACGTCAGCAGAGAAGACAGATCTTCAAATTCAAAATGGAATGTAAGAAGCTCGATCATGGAGGTCAATAAGGCAATCCAAACTGTCTTAAAAAATTTTATTGTTTATGTGGTATACATTCTCTGGTCTGATATAAAAATGTTCAACAATCATTATCACTTAATGAAAAATGTGAGCGCGGGATTAATCACTATTGTTCCCTTTTTTAATATAATTTAGCATTAATATAGCATTATACATGATCTAACGTATCATTGTAATGTTGTATATTCTGTCTTATTATAAAACTAGAATAACTTATTCTCCTAACTATCAGTTATAATAAGTCAACACGTCTTAATTTTATACGTTTTCTCTTGTATTTTTTTGCTTTTGGTAGCCAATGGTTTACAAATCAAATCAAATCAAAATTTATTTATTCATTTAAGGCTTTTACAAAGCACTTGTGAAAGTCGAAAACTAAGCCATCGGTTCGCAAAACTACGGCGGGAGACTTTATACTGAGAAGAACCGGCAAGAAACTTAGAAAGGGCTGTTTTTTTCCCTGTTTTATTTCACACAGAGAAGTCTTATTGAAAAGTGACTTCATTAGAATATGAAGTCACTTTCCATACAGCGAAGTCTAACTTTAGTCTTCGATTTATAATAAGACGAAATGTGTTAAAATTGTGGAACTATGATATCTAGCAACTTCCCCGCCCAGTTAGTATTTGTCAGATATATTCAGATATACTCAACCTTTGGGGCCGGGTGTGGAGTACTCTTTACTGGATCCCAGGCTCTTCCTTCATAAAGAAGGGTATACAAAAGGCGTTTATTGGGTATGCTATCTATGTTTTGATTAGTCTTTGGGCGGGTCCGTGCGGATGGAGAGTCCCACACATCCCCTGATGCCTGATTAGGTGGTAATTCGTCATTTTCGGAATTTTCCTGCTTTCGTGATTACCTCAAAGCACTATAACTCAATAATAACAACAGTTAAGAAAAGTAGTATTTTTTCAAACAGTTTTCCAAACGTTTATCTACTACGACAAGGTCACAAGAATAGAGAGTAGACTGCCCCTGCAATGGTTTTTGTATCGGGTAGTATCACTTTCATGGATTTCATCATCCCTGAAGGTCCTTCTCTTATGAAATTCATACTTTCACTATATCATCAGTACGACAGCAGTGTTGATTTATTAATGCAATAGAAGCTTTATGAATATCAAAGTATACGAGATGCAGGCATTCCCCTGCATTGTGATAATGAATGTCTACCCCATAAAGAAGAATCTATGATACCAGAGGAGAGTAATTTTAATACAAAATATAATGTTAAAAAGCGTATTACTAACTAAACAACTAACGAGACAGTTAAATATAGGTAGGTATCTGAAGGATGTTTTGACATGGTGTTCTATATATTAGACAGAATATTATGGTAAGTGTTTAATATAATAGTAGATAGAGTAGTTTAGTAGTGGTGTGCTGAATGTCAATAACATCTGTGATGGTGGATGGAGGCTGGTGTCGGCAGTGACGAGTGGCATGTGCGGTCAGATTGAACACGCAATGCGCAGGGCGGGCGGGGCGCGGCGGGCGGGCGGCCGCCGGCGTTCGGGCGCGCAGTGCTCCTCGCGCAGGACCGGAGTGGTGTTCACTCGGCGGCGCGCCACGGCGCGACATGCCCAGCTGATGTTTATTTATACCGCGAGCTCGGTGGAGGGTGCGCGCGGGAGGCCCTCCCCTCCGCGGCACCACGGTTTCGCGTGATGCAGCCGAGCGAGCTTGCCGACACCGCGCACGCCACTAGCGGAGTCCCCCCGCAGCGTGGCCTCAACGGTGGCCGTTTCGACTTTGATGATGGTGGTACATACTGTGGTGGGTGGGAGGACGGTAAAGCCCATGGGCACGGTGTGTGTACCGGACCCAAAGGGCAAGGTGCCTACGCCGGATCCTGGCATTTCGGCTTCGAAGTTTCCGGTGTCTACACCTGGCCCAGGTGAGATAGTGACTTCTCCCGGGCCTCGCACATGCCCGAGCGCAAATCCGCGTCCGAAGCCGCTCCAAAAATAGGCTGCTATTAATAATTGAGTTCGGTGTTTCGCTAGAAAACGTGTGTAACGGCGGTGAAAGTGCCTCATGGCATAATCTCAGGGAATATATTCATTATCGATCTGTGACCACTGATAACACCACGTGATAACAATATCACAGGTATCGCTCTGGTAGTTGTGTTATTGCAGCAACAGATCCATTAAGATTCAATAACATGACTTTACAAAACATTATTAGTGTTATAAAATTCTAAATTGATTTCAATTTCATCTGGTCGAAGTGGCCTTGTCACTGTTTAAGAAAATGCCTTTTATGTTAATATATGTAGTCACTGTTTATGACGTTGTATCTAATACATTATCTAAGGGTAATTATTTTAATTGGAAAGTCGCTTCTTATTTTAATTAAGGTGCTTTAGGGTAAATACAATAACAAGGAATCGATGATTAATAAGGAATTTTTTGCTTAATCACGCTTGTTAAATATCAAAGTCTATATACCAGTAATAAAAATATCTTGGTATATAACAATAAATTTTCAATTGGAGAAATGTTACAACAAATACCTAGAATGTCTGTTTAGTAGGTAACAATCCGAAATTTCGAAGATCCCTTCTTTCGTAATTACCCCAAGCACTTAAATGAAATTGTGATTACATTAACGACGAATCTAGGTTATTCATAAAGATGAATCAGATCCTTTTGATTTGGCTCTTGAACTAAGTAACATCAAACACATCAAAGTAGTTCATAGCTTCTTCAACTATAATGGTCCCAGTAATATTACAATAAATTACTATTGATATGATATAAGAGTAATTAGAAAAATACATAAACGCGAATTATATAAATGATATAGGTAAAATGACAAACCATGAGCGATTGAAAACTCAAATTTATTGTTTAATCGTGAAAATGTAAAATGTCTCATCATATAATTAAAATATCATCAAAAGTTGCAACTTAACTTTCCGGTATCCGATTATAATGAATGAACATTCTTGAAGCCTTTTCGATTATTTTTTAAAAACCTTTTAAGTTTTTTGAAGCTTTCAATAACTATCCATGTTTTTTTTTCATTTTATACATGAAATAATCTAACTACCCAGGTTAGATCAAGGATCATCAGGATAAAAAATGAAAAAGAGAAGAATTTAAAGAAGTTCCATTAATTATCAAAATAAATGATAATTATCCCTGTGATTTCGTCAATAACGGATTTAATTAAAAAACTGTATTACTAGACCCCGTTCTTTAAAGTTGATCTCGTGTTGGAAACTGATTTCATTCTGGAGGCAGAAGCCATGACTTTTTGAGGGTATAAATTTTAAATTTAAAAAAGTTGGGTTCTAGATGTTCATCCAAAGTATTGTTTTTATTATCTAAAGTTTTATTAAAATATGATGAAGCTCTATTTTTGCATTTGGTAATTACTTACTTTGCAATATCCATATCACAACACAACACTATCATAAAAAGGGGAAAGTAAGAATAAAAATCAATTGTAACTATATATTTTTATAGTACGATATTTTACATCTACAGACTCTTTAGATAAGAAATGCTTAAAAAACCACCAGCTCCAGGGGCGCAACCGCCTAACTCATGGACGTAGCCGTAGTCGTAGCTATAAGCTACGCTTAACGATATTTCTTATGAATCTGTTTATATTCTTATAAAATGAATTGTTTTTTTTTTAATTTATATATTTTATAAAACATTTTGGTTTGTTTTTCTTTTCGAAAAAACATTGTTTGTATTAATTCGATATTTTGTAATTTTCGTTCAACTTTTATAATTCAGCAAACAAAAACAACTAAAAGCATTGATTAAATATGTAAATAATAAAAAAATATTAATTTTACAATATCAACAGATTCATGTGTAAAACCTATAAAGCGTAGGTTATAGCTACGACTACGGCTACGTCCATGAGTTAGGCGGTCGTACCCCAGGTACCCCGAGAAAAATATATAAATATAAAAACAATCATACCATCGTAACATGGTTTCACAGACAGTTACTTTCGTCATATATTATACCATATAATAAGTATTCATGATCGGATCAGTATTTCTATAATTACATTAGAAGAATACCCTCTAGAAACAAACAAACACAATTAGAAACTTTACCTCTATGTAATATTAGTATAGATACAGATTTAAAATTACATTAGTTACATAATTTCCAATGAAGAACTAGTAAAGATTTACAAAGAAGAGTTGGGCAAAGATTTATGATGATTTACGCTATCAAAACATTTGAAAACAATATTAAAGTAATTGAAGGTTAAACAAATTGACGACATTATATTATGATAGTTGTTACGATCGCACAGAGACAATTAAGGTTATATGACATTTATGATTGTGCATTTACACTTGAGTCTAGTGCGCATGAATAATTGTATTAAGGAATGGGGCCAATATGAATGTCCATATTTTTTATAAAATTTCGTATAAGTCATCGATAAGACCGCCGATTGTACTGCTAAATTGTATCAATTGTCTTGTTATTTAATTATGGTTTACAATAAAGCATTCATTCATTCAATTTCACTTCATCATTACGAAGGCCGTTTATAACTATCGTCACAAAATTTTAAATTATTATGTATTATGTATATAGGTATATTGAACTGATTTCATGCTTCTGTAGATTTATCAATTAAATGATAGGCGCCTGACTTCAATAGCATTTTGTAGAATAAGTCGCTTTTGAGATAAGTATTATTTCTAACTTTTTAAAAAGTTTTTATTTCATGCCTCTTAGATATAGTATTTTTTTATATAATGGGTTACACTGTGGGTTTCCATACCCATTTACCTTCATAAAGAGGAAAGATTTGATTGTTTGTTGTTTGCATTGGATAGGCTCCGAAACTATTGGACCGATTTATAAACGGTCTTCGCAGGCGAAACCGCGAAGAAACAGCTAGTTTGATAGAAATTGGTTCACAATTCAAGAAGAAATCGATTGACATACCTACTTTCATAAGATATACATACTCCTTGAATATAAAAAATCCTCCTTTTGGATTTTGAATTTTTGTGACTTTTAAAGAATGGAAATTTAATTTAAAAGATATTATCTTTAAATGTTACCTTGTACACAGAATTTGTCGAGCACTGGACTAATACTATTCACGTCCTATTAATTAATGAAGTAATTGTAATTTTGTTGAGAAATTGTCTTCAATAGTATCTAATTTTAAAATATAGTACCACATATTGTTTTTATTGGAGGTTTAGGGCCTTTTGTATCTAGGGGCCCTAGGCTTAAGCTAGCTTAGATAGATCCTCCCCTGTTTGAAGTTGTCTTTTTATTTAACCGTCAATCTACTTATAATTAGAATAGACTTAATAATAACGTAATTAAAATATTACAGAATAGTAATATTGTACAATTTAATAATAAAATTTGGTTTTTAATTAAAAAAATTAATTTATTCACGAACAGAACTAAAAAATTAAATATTATCACTTGTCTGAAAATTGTGTCAGCTTACTAAAAAAATAATGGTTTGACTAGTCTTGCTGTAAGGTAGTTGCTAGTCTTAGGCGCATTATGCATAGATAATACATAATACTGGTATTATGGTTCGTGACGCGGTGGCGTGAAGACGTGTATCCAGAGCAGTGTGAGAGTGTGGTTTACTAGATATAGAATCTAGTTTCATTACAGATTTAATTCAAAATACGTAATCTTTACGTATCAGCTAAATATTGAGATGATGAATGGTGGAAAAGACTATTTTGTTATGTTATAAAAAAACTACGAATACAATTCGAATGGGACCATGTCGGGCCATTAAGCTGTCGAATAAAAAAATAATTTAATAATCTGTAAAAAATTCTAAAATAAGACAATGAACACAAAAAAAAAATCGCAGTCGCAATTTAGATTATATAATGTCCGTCGAAGATATCACCCACTAATTTTTGTTTTTGAAGTCAGTTAAACATAATATTGTGTTTATTATATTTGATCAATTTTGAGTTCACAGTAGCTCGGTGGCGTAGTGGATAAGCGCCGCGGCCCGCGATCGTAGTCGTTAAGCAACTTTCGCAAGGGTCGGTCACGGGATGGGTGACCAAAAAAATGATTATCTCGAGCTACTCCGTGCTTCGGAAGGCACGTTAAGCCGTTGGTCTCGGCTGCATTTGCAGTCGTCAATACCCTCCAATCCGCATTGGGCCAGCGTGGAGGGTCATGGCCCATCCTCCTTAACCATCCATAAGGAAGGCCTGAGCCCCTGCAGTGGGGACGTAAAAGGGCTGGTGGTAGAGTTCACAATTTTTTTTTTTTAATAATTTAATAATATTTATTAAATCACAACAAAATACATGATTTTCGTTATATCTAAGCTTATCATATACTGTACCTAATTAATTTGCATCTGCTGCTGAACTGAGTTGATACCCGTCTTTCAGCATACAGCGCCTCAAAACCTCAGATTCTTGAAATTACTTAGTATATATTAAGCAGATAAGCGACACTGAATTTAAGTTACCTAACTTATCTTAACTTATAGTGTTATCCATTCAGATTTGCCACATACAATGCTACATACATTCAGATTTAGGTTTAATTGTTTAAAAAGTCACGATCGCGGGCACCTGGTACCGATGATTATTTAAGCATTTTTAGATAACATAGTATCGTCAGTATTTCGTGTGATTTGGACCAACTATAAGTATAATTTGTTACTTCATTATTTATTATATTGGAGGTTTAAGATGATTCTCGGCTCTCTCTTCGTGCACGCACGACTACACAACACGCAACGGATCTTTTATTTTCGGATCGGATTGATCTATTATTTATCGTGAAACTTTTTGAATTTTTCAACATTCCAACACATATTCTATTTCATAAATTTTGCATTCAAAATATAATATTGATATTTATCTAATCCCATCTCGACCACTAAGAATGAATG